TCTCCTCTCCTTTGCTGGGTAAAACTGACCTGAGCTTAGAATTTCAAGCATCCACTCTGATAAGGAATTTGATAAAGGGTGCAGGTGGAGGCTTCTCTTCTCCACTCCGGCAGAAGTTAACAGGAAGGGTTTTCCAGGGACGAACTGAAAGGGTGAGGGCCTCTTCAACTCGGAGAGGAGATGACAGAGTGAGGGTTTGCAGGAGCTCACAGAGGAGTCCGCCCCTTAGAGAGTGGACGTCCCAACAGACGGAGGGCCGAGGGGTGTCTCTCACAGGATTTGGTTACAGGAAGCCTGAGTGAGGACTCTCCCGGGGGCACCCGGCCAAAGGTGGGGGGAGGGATCTGTTCCACTCAGGGTCTTCGCAGGTGGCTACGCATCGAGATGCCGTTGGTCGCTCTCTCCTGAGGAGCGGAGTCTCCGTTGGCCCAGCGCGGCTGGCTTGGCTCCGGGAGAGGCCTGGCCGTCGGCCCCGATGCCTCCCGCTCAGTATCGTCCTCAGGCGGCCGCCGACAACGAAAACTTTCTTCTGACCTGCAAAACCAAAACAAACCCGATCAGGCTGAGCCCCGGCCTGGCGGCCCCTTCCGCGGCCCAGGGCTCCCCGGCCCAGCGCACGGCAGAGCAGCACGCGAGCCTCCTCTCCCTCCCCTCTTACCTTCCCCGCAGCAGCCGCCATAGCGATTGGAAACCTACCCGGTGTAGCAGTAGCAGCAGCGCTGCCGGGGAGGGGAAGGGGGGGCTGGCAGCCGGGAGAGGGAGGAGCTGCTCTGAACTGGGCTTGACCGAAGGGCACGCAAGGGCCCGCCTACTTTGGCTGCGCACGCGTTGATCTCGCTGGTACAGCAGTGCGCAGGTGTGGGACCTTTGCACATGCGTGATGCGTCACATGAAGCTGGCCTGGTGTTTTCTGTAGGCTCCGCTTCCGGGTTGGAGAGCGAGGGAAGAGAGGGGGAGCGGGACAGGGCTCAGAAGGAGGGGTGGAGGGAGGTGGCGTACAGGGATGGTGGCTTCTTTGAAACATTGCTGGAGAGGGACACGTCCCAGAGAAGAGGGGCTGCTGCTCTGAGACTAATGACAGAGAAGAAGGGGGAAAGCCCCAAAACTGGAGAAAGAGATTCCATTGAGGAAGGGTAGATCAGTCAGGATGCAGAGATAGACTCACAGAATGCTAGAACTGGAAGAGACATCAAGAGGTCATAGATCAGTCAGGATGCAGAGATACAATCACAGAATGCTAGAACTGGAAGAGTCATCAAGAGGTCATCAAGTCCAGCCCCCTGTCCTCATGGCAGCACCAAGCATCATCTCTGATAGCTGTTTATCCAACCTGCTCTTAAATATCTTTAGTAATGGAGATTCCACAACCCTTCCTTGGCATTTTATTCCAGTGTTTAACCACCCTGACAGGAAGTTTTTCCTAATGTCCAACCTAAACCTCCCTTGCTGCAATTTAAGCCCATTGCTTCTTGTCCTATTATCAGAGATCAAGGAGAACAATTTTTCTCCCTCCTCCTTGTAATACCCTTTTAGGTACTTGAAAACTGCTATCATGTTCTCTCTCAGTCATCTCTTTTCCAAACTAAACACATCCAATTCTTTCAATCTTCCATCATAGATTTTCAGACCTTTACTCATTTTTGTTCTCTGGACCCTCTCCAATTTCTCCACATCTTTCTTGAATTATGGGCCCAGAACTGATTATTCCCAACTGAGGCTTAATCAGTGCAGAACAGAGCAGAAGAATTACTTCTTGTGTCTTTCTCACAACACTCCTGATAATACATCCCAGATGCTAGGGATACAGGCTCCTGAGAGTGCATGTGGCTGAGCAGGGTCCCAATGCCCATTTGCTGCTCTTTCGTAGGTAAGTTGCTAAAAAGTCACCCCTTTCTTGGGACTGCATTTCATCTTAGTTTAAATAAAGCCCTAAGCCTGGACTGCCCTTATAAAGTACATGCACATAAAAATTAGTTCTTTCCTTCACAACTTCCTGTGTTCTCTTATCTTCTTGCCTCAACGTCAACTTTTGTATCTTATCACCATAGCATAAAACCTACAGCTTTTACTTGCTGACTGTTGTGCACTAAGTCTATATTTTGGGATGTCTAAGTGCAATCACAACTTCTGATTGATGCAGAATAAGATGTGAAAAATATATTAGCAGATGCAGGACAAAATTGAATAGGAAAGATCAGGAGAGGACAGAGACTGATGAGTCATCAAGTATTGCCCCAATTTTGTCGTATGTCGTGGTCACAGAATTTGAAATCATGATTTTGAATTGTCTGTGAATTATTGGAAATTACTGTAAAAACACATCTGATTAGGCACCCAAACTGAGTAGCATTGAGACCTGGCACATGAGGTTACAACATATGAAGAGGCAGGCCAAATACCATGCACCAGGTTACATTTCTCAGAGCAGGGAACCAAAACTAGCTGCTGCTTGGGACAGGTGCCATGACTGCAGGATTAATGTGAGGTGGTCCCTCTCTCCAACACACACCTGTTCAATCTAGTCTCACTTTTCAGTACCTGCACTATTTTTTGTATCATCAGTAAATGTTTGTGTATGTTGATGCAGCAAAATCTACATTATTTAGTGATTTTTTGTGGCTTATTTTTCCCCACACCTCTGTTGTGAAATTTATTTTAAAAATTCAGAGCCTTCATCATCAATATAATAATACCTAGATCTTATGTAGTGCTTTTCATAAGCAGGTCTAAAAGCATTTTATAAAGGAGGTCAACATTATTGTCCCTATTTTCCAGAGAGGCACAGAGCAAGGAAGATGGCAAAACCAAAGAGAACACCCAGGTTTCCTAAGTCTCAGACTAATAGTTCATTCACTTGGCTAGCCTGCATCTTGTACAGCTATCTAGCAGAAGATGGTTAAGGAGCTAGAAGTTGAAGCCATAGTGGCAGATTAAATCATTCCATGGTAGGATATATGGAAAGAAGAGAGAATCAAGGAAATAGCTTTGATGAATGCCATTGGGGCTGAGGAGAATGAGGAACAACCATTGAGAGAGAGACAGTGAACAATCGGTGAAGTTAGGAGAAACTGGATGAATAAAAAGACCAAGTCGACAAGGGAGTGATTGACAGTAACAGAAAGGTCAAAGCAGAAAAACAAATGGAGAGAAGGTCTTTGGACTTGACAAGAAAAATTATCTTATCAAAGAGGTGTATAAGCAGGTGATAGAAAATGAAATAAGGGTTTAGGGGCAAGGAAGTCAAATCTAAGCTGAAAAACAAGGCAACATGTTTATGGAAGGAAATGGGTAATGAGTATTTGTAAAAGTAGGATGGATCTATACAAGTGATTCTTGCATATCACTTCCAAGATTAAAAAGTAATTGGCAACAGGAATGTTAAAATGTGTGTATTCCAGTAAACATGTAACTGTTGAAAATGTCAGCAGTCACATGTTTACACGTGGTGGGGGAAGGTAGCTCTAGGGAGCTTTTATTATCTAGGCCAGTGTCCACCAACCAGTAGCTCAGGATCTACTGGTAGATCTTGGAGCCTCTGACAGGTGATCCTGACTGGTTTGGCCAAAGGGCTCTCAAGTGCAGTCACTTCAACTGTCCCTCCCCCTAATGCTGCGCACCCCTTGTCCTTCGCCTTGGAGCTGCCTCCCCCCGACTTCGGGGAGCCTCCTGCTTGCTGTGCAGGGCAGAGGAGGGAGACGAGGGGTACTGATGTCAAGGTGCCCCCTCTCTCACTCTGTATCCTATCTCCACAGAGCAGAGTGGGGAGCACAACAGGACTTGCGATGGAGTTTGCTGGCTGCTTTTGGGAGTGGTGCAGGGCCAGGGCAGGGGTGAGAGTCCTTTGCCCCACTGCACCACTACCCAGGAGCCACCAGAGGTAAGCAGTGCCATCAGAGCCCATATCCTGAAACCCTACCCCAGTCATGAACCCTCTCCTGCACCTCAAGCCCCTGCCCTAACCCTGAGAACCCCTGCATCCAATGCCCTCCCAGAGCCTGCACCTAGAACTCCCTCTGGCACCCCAACTGCCTGCCCCAAGTTCAGCTCACACTCCAAATCCCTTAATCCCCAGCGATGCAAATGTAGGCGACCGAAATTGCTAATGAAGCAGGGATTTAAATATCCCACGCTTCATTATCATGATCTTGACGGCGCATTACTCTGCTGAACGCCTGTTTCGAAAGTTAAAGTGCGTGCCGGGATGTGTTAGTTCGAACCAAACCCCTTGGTTTGAACTAACGTTACTCCTCACATTTTTACAAAAAATTAAGAGTAACGTTAAGGGGTTTGGTTCGAACTAATGCATCCCGGCGCACATTTTCACTTTCGAAACAGCAGTTCAGCAGAGTAATGCACCGGCAAGATCATAATGAAGCACGGGATATTTAAATCCCCGCTTCATTAGCAATTTCGGTCGCCTACATTTGCATCCCTAGTTCGAACTAGGGTACAAGTGTAGACATACCCTTACAGAAAAAAAACAACAAATGGTCTGGTAGCACTTTATAGACTAACAAAACATATAGATGGTATCGTGAGCTTTCGTGGGCACAGCCCACTTCTTCAGATGACCAAAGTTATGAGTAGGGGATATGATAGGAAGAAAATAAAAGATCCGGTAGAGGAAGGAAGTGATAGAAAGTGCAATAGAATTTAGAGTCATTTGAGGAAAGAGATTTAGAGGCAAGAAGTAGCTATAATGCCATTGAGAAGTTAGCAAGAACTGTAAAAAGAGAGAGAAGGGAGTGTAGTTGGCCAATTCTCAGCCTGGGTTCAACCATAATCTCTTGAGTCAAATGTCTCTGTCTCTTAAGGGCACCCCCATTCCTGGGCAATCTCTCTGTTTACAGCAGTTCAACTCACTCCTAGTGTCCTTTCTGAGTCCAATTACTTCTAATCACTAGTTGAACTCCCCGAGTCCTAACATAGGTTTTTGGCTGGAAGCAGCCCTCCTGAGTCTCTCACTGAATCAGGATTGTAGCCTTAGTCTATCGCTCAAGATGGGGGTAGAGGAGAGAAGAGGAATGGAGAAGAGAAAGGCCAGCCACTGCCTCAGGTTAGGATCCCTCTAGTACTGGAGCTTCCTAAAAGCCTCTCTTTCTAGGCAATGCCCTTGTTGTCATTCCTGGTTAGAAAGAGGGTTGAGGATGGAATCAAATGAAGAGAAAAATCATTGGTGATTGTAGGCATTATGTCAATCAGTGAAGAAATAACATTAATTGTAAAGGAAGATGGCAGTATGGAATGGAGAATGCATGTGTAGTGGAGAAACTCCATTTTTGTCATATTTAAATTCAATACATATAATTTCACAGTAGTAGCCAGGGGTTTTTTTTGTTAAAAAAAAAAGGGAGGCTGGTACTAGGGCAAAATTGTCGAGAAAAAAGAAAAAAAACAAATACAGCCCCTTTAAATTCCACATGTCTCAAGGGGGCTTCCAGTCAGTGCGGCACAAGTGCTCTCAGGGCTGTGCCAGCAAAATTGGTGATTGCGCCCGAGAGGGGTGACAGTACACCGTACCAGTGCATACCATCACAAAAAAAGCACTGGTAGTAGCTAATTAAAACATACTGTGCAAAGTATTCTCCACTTAAAAAACACACACACATTTTTTCTTCACACACAAAAACAAATGAATAAACATAAATATTTTAGTAAAGACAGAATTACAAAGACCACACAAACCACTTTGTGCATGTTTTATGAGATATTCAGTAGTTCCCTCTTTAAATCAAGGATAAAAACAGGTTGATGAGTATTTAACAAGGGTTGTCCATTTGTCCAATACCTATCAGAATGTGCAGCTGTAGACTGCTTTCCAGGAATAAAGATGACTGACTGGCACATGCTCAATTTAGGCCAATCACCCTTTGCCACACATGGCATAAAAGGCATTGAGATATGACAGCCATATTAGGTATGGGAGCTAGTAGCCATTTTAGAAGCCATCTTAGTTAAGGTGCTAATAAAATGCCCATAAAATGCTATGGATCATAGCCATCATAGCTAAGAGCAATAAGGCCACATGCTATAACCATAATGGATGATGGAAATAGAAGGGAGTGCACAATCACATTTTTCTTCCTAGGAAGTTGGTGTTTATTTTAGGCCAATGGAATGAAGTAGCAACTGAGGCATATCCATACTCGCCTAACCTCAGGAATTTGGTCTAAATGTCTCACAATATCAGAGAGTTTCTCAGGTACTAAGGACTACCTCAGAATCTCAGGAACTTTTGCTGCAATGATTCCTATGAATTCCAGATTAATTGTTAATATTTGTGAACAAGATCTGAACATTATGAGTAACTCAATGCAAAGCTGATTATTGTGCACTGGCAATCAAAAAGGCAAATCAATTATTTGGATGTATAAAAAAAAAGATATTCTTTCTGGAAGTTGAAACCATTTGTCTGGCAGTCATGACCACCCTGCCTTTCTCAAGTTGCAATGGGAGGGAGTTACCAGCTAGCAACCCAGCTAAATGGGTGGGGAGCTGTTGTCATGCTGGTCCTCTTGTGGAAAGGTGACTTGCAGTATAGAAAAGGTTCAGAACTCCTGGTGTGAGGTAGAAAATAATATAGTGCCATCATGTAAATCTGTAGTACATGCTCACCTGGAACAATGGTCAGCCAATGTCAAGCATGACACAAAGGAAAGAGAGGGATCCAGAGAGTGACAGTGAAACTGAATAGCAGCATGTAGAGCTTTCTATAGCTAGAATTTGCATTTAGAGAAGAGATGGATAAGGCCCCAATCTTTTAAATATTTACACATTTATTTTACATTAGTGGGGCCTGCTTACTATATTCAGGGCCAGCTTGAGACATTCATGAGCTCCAGGCAGCGGGCACACAATGTATGCGCGGCTCTGCCCCCAGGTGCACAGCGCATGCACAACCCCGCCCCCCGGCGTGCGGCATACCTTACAGCTGCAATTGGGCATGCAGCGCCTGATTGCAGCTCTAAGAGGCGCCGCACACCCAGGGCCGGGGGCCGCGTGGTGCCTGATGGCAGCTCTAAGGGGTGCCGCGCGACTCCCGGCCCTGGGCACGTGGCGCCCCTTACAGCTGCCATCAGGTGCCCCCATAGGTTGGCGCCCTGCGCAACTGCCCGGCTAGCCCCCTCCGCCCCCCACTTAATCTGGCCCTGACTATATCTGAGAGTCTGCATCTCTTAAAGAGACTGCTAGCAGGACAATGTTTTCCATAAGGGTTCCCTAGTTCTGGATCACATTTCTCAACCTGATTTATCAGGTACTGGGGGTCGGGGAGGAATTATTTGTTTTTTGTTTTTTTTTTACATTTTGTTGTAATAGTCCACCCATGCTGCAGGTTCCATCTATATTTGCACGTATTTGAGGAGAGATCAGTAGGTTTGCCAATTTTGGTTAGATGTATTTCTGGAGATTTCATCATATGACATAATCTTTAATTAAATATCAATCTTTAATTCCTGGAGACTCTAGGCCAACCCCTGGAGAGTTAGCCCCTTAGAGATCAGATTGAAAAATATGCTGATTGTATGCAGAAGGTTGTTTTGGTAGGGTAATTTGGAAATTTGTTGAAGAGCTGGGAATTGAAAAGAGATCTGCATCCTAGTCCAATCCCTTTACAAAACCAATTTTTCCTCAAAAGCCAAACTATAAGAACAACCATACTAGGTCAGACCAAAGGTACATCTAGCCCAGTATCCTGAGTTCTGACAGTGTCTAACGCCAGGTGCCCCAGAGGGAATGAACAGAATAGATAATCATCAAGTGATCCATCCCGTCACCCATTCCCAGCTTCTGACAAACAGAAGCAAAGGACACCATGCCTGTCCATCCTGACTAAAACTTATTAATAGACCTATCCTCCATGAATGTATCTAGTTTTTTGAACCCTGTTATAGTGTTGGACTTCACAACATCCTCTGGCAAGAAGTTCCACAAGTTGACTATGCATTATGTGAAGAAGTATTTCCTTTTGTTTTAAACCTGTTACCCATTAATTTAATTTGGTGACTCTTAGTTCTTGTTTTATGGTAAGGAGTATATAACTCTTCTTTATTCACTTTTTCCACACCAGTAATGATTTTATAGATCTCCATCATATCCCCCCATTAGTCATCTCTTTTCCAAGCTGAAAAGTCCCAGTGGTATTAATGTCTCTTCATATAGCAGCTGTTCCATACCCTTAATCCTTTTTGTTTCTCTTTTCTAAACTTTTTCCAATGCCAAGGTATCTTTTTGAGATGAGGCAACCATATCTGCACACAGTATTCAAGATGTGGGCGTACCATGGATTTATATTCTCCATCTTATTCCCTATCCCTTTCTTAATGATTCCTAACAATGTTGTTAAGTTCACCTATTGTGTGTGAAATGTCTATAATGCTATGTACAAGTGTAGTGAAAGGAAACGATTGTGCAGAGGGGAGCTCAGGGTAGGGAACCATCTCTGATAGTATAAGAAAGTAGAATTTTAAAATATTAATGTATTTGCTCCTTTTTTAATTTCTTTAAAGTCACTGTCAACTTGTTTAGGCCTCACACTTTCTTTAATGGAAAGTAATGCCCACAGAATGCACCTAGAAGACTTTTTAATAATACTCCCACTCACAAACCTATGTTAGCCTGGTATTGTGATAGAAAAGAAATAAAAAAAAAATAAACCTATCACTTCAGAGGAGAAACATAAAACCTTGAAAAAAATTGCTTCTCAGAAAACAAATAATTAGTCTGAAAATGCAAATGACCCTCTACTTTAGGGGTGTGCAACATACTGCTGGTGGGCTGGATGCAGTCCACCAAGTTGCTGGATCTGGCGTGTGGGCTGCCCCATTGGGACCCTCAGGCACAGAGTAGCTCATACCGCTTTAAGTGGCTGGCTGCTCCTTTTGGCTGCAGTCAATAGGGGCTGAGAAATTTTGCTGAGAAGGCAGGGGCTGCATGGGAATCTTCCCCCTACCCTGGAGCCGAGAGCCACAGGGAAGAGCCTGCTGTTTTGATCAGCTCAGGGCTGCGGCAGACAGCATAGGTAAGCACTTCCCAGCTTAAGCCTGCCTCTGGCACCCCACATCCTTCCTGCCCCAGGTCACCATCCAAACACTCTGCATCCTCCCACCCTCTTCCAAGTCACAACTTTTTCCCAGACCCTGCATCTCCTTCTAAACTTCTAACCCAGGCCAGAATCCTCACCTGCATCTATACCCCTTCCTAGACCCTGCACCGCAGTCCCCTGCCTCAACCTGTCTTCTGCACCCACTTCCGTCCCAGACCCTGCGCCCTTCCATAGAAAAGTGCAACCCTTGACCACTTTCCAAAATCGTAGAGTGGCCCCCAGTCAAAAATTATTGCCCATCTCTTCTGTACCTATTTGTGTGGTATTGATATTAATAAATACATCCTAAAGCAAAAAACAGACAACATGGAATGTTTTAGAACATCACAGAGCTCAAAATACATTCAGAAATGGCTTTTAATTACTTTTTCATTTCACAGATGGGGAATGGAGTACAGAGTAATCAAATGACTTGCACTGCCAGCCTGTGTAATCAAGGGCAAGAACCAGGACTAGGACCCAGATGTCTTAACATTTCAGTCTAGTCAAGCTTCTGCCATTGCAGGGCTCTCAAGCACTGGTTCTGTCCTTCTGTCCTCCACTTGGAGTTCCTCTGAGTATAGTAATACTTTGGTCTAATTCTGGTTATTTAGGCTTGGTGCTGAGGTAACTGGATGATGTTTAGTGCCCTAACACAGTGTTTCTCAACCAGTGGTACGAGTACCCTTAGGGTTACTCGAGAGAAGTCTGGGCGGTACGTCAACACAATTGAAATTTGGAGAAAACTGAATTTTTGTTTTAAGTTTTACACGCTTTATTATTTTTGTACTTTTTACACCCAAAAATTTCATTGCCTGCCCAGCTACAATTACATTGTTTAAACAAATGTGTTGCAATGGTACAAAAAAATGTTGTGTGTCTGAAAACTATAGGTTCTGGAGTACTTAATTTTTTTTAAAGGTAGTACTTTATAAAAAAAAGATTGAGAAACACTACTCTAACAAACAGATCTGACAGTCTCTTCTGGCCTTAAACTTTATGAAACAGCATAAGCTGGCCAACAAGCAAGATGGGAAACAGAGCACAGTGTGGGCCATAGTACCAAATGAGCTAGAGCTTGGGTTCCCAAACTGGGAGGCGAGAAGAAATTCCAGGGGGGGTGCGAGGTGACCTAGCCACACACACACCAGTCAATCCTACCCCAAGTTTTGCTGCTGTTTTTTTGGGGGGGTGGCGTGAAGGTTTCTCAAAAATCAAAAAGGGGGCATGATGCCAAAAAGTTTGGGAACCACTGACAAGAGCAACTGGCTCAGTGGTGCAAGTAAGCCAGTGCAGTTAGGTATTAAGACATTTATTGCTGTTATGCAGTGCTGGAAACACATTTTCGGAATTGCAGGGGTCTTCTGGGAACCACAGTGGCAAAAGGAACAAAATGTTGGGCCACTGCTCCCAGAAACCAGAATCCCACGTTGGCAGATCTTCAGGCACAGTTGTACCAACCCCTGGCCCTGTCTTCCACCGAGCCTGTACAAACCCAATAGAAGATGCAGCTGTGTAGTAGTGCTGAGGATGCACTAGGGGGCGGTATAGCTATGCCAGAGAAGGTGCTGACCTAGGCCACTAGCTCTGGGGACAACATCCCCTGTTCTGCTTGCTTTGACAGTGCAGTTCCTGGGAGAGCCCTGTGCCAAAGTAGTAAATATGGTTTTGTAACTGCAAATATCCATATCCGCAGTTATAAATGTTTATCTGTTCAGGCTCTAGTAACAGATCATTTTTATCAGGGAGTGCAGGCTCAGTACCATACCAGTAAGAGTTAAAATCTTCTTGCATCACTAAACTGATCTCAGGACCCTTGTACCCCAGGTATTTAGATGGCTAAATGGGGGATCACAGCTGTTATAGCGGGTCAGGCAGCTTTCCCCTGTGTGTGGGGCCACAGCTGGCAAGGCAACAGGCAGCCAAACTTCAGGGCCTGCAGGCAACTGAGTTCCATCCCCAGTGGCTGCTTGGCCCGTTTCTCCGCCTCCTCAGGGATGCTGGAATAATGTGAGCAGAGATGGTGCTGAGAGCCACTGAGCCAAATTGTAAACCCTGCATATGACGCAAATCTCTTCAAGCCAGGGGGTGCCGCAGCGCCCCTGCACTCCTACTTCCAGCACTCATGCTCCTCCTCACACAATGCGGACAGCAGCTTTGGAAACTCCCCCCTCCACCCCCGCTCGGCGGCGGCTTTGGACCGCTTCTTTCCCTTTAGTCGTCTCGGGCTCCTCGCGGAGGACGGCGCGCGTAGAGTGTCACGTGATTCTCGCTCTGCCCTGGCGCCCTCCCCCTGTCTGTTTGCAGGCCGCGGGAGGCGGAGCCGGCTCGGCGGTGGCAGGTGCGAGAGCCGAGCCAGAGCGGCGCCCTCAGCGCGGCCTCGCGGAGTCCCTGTGAGGCGGACGAGGATGCGCCGGGCCGGTGCCTGTCGCTGCTGCCCTGGGACCGTTTCTCGGCCTGGCTGCACTGCGTGTGCGTGGTGGGCTTCGACTTGGAGCTGGGCCAGGCCGTGGAGGTGAGCGACGCGGCCGGGAAGAGGCCACAATGGGTTGGGGTGGGACTTGGGACCCCTCTCCCCATTCGGCGGGGCTGGGTTCGGTCTCCCGCCTTCGTCGCTGGGAGATTCTGCCGCGCTGACACCAGGATCGCCCCGCGCTTGGCTTTGAGGAGGGGAATGGTCCGGGTGCCGCTTTGCTCCTTGCCGGGGAGATGCCACCGCCTGAGACTCTCATTCTGCACCAAGGCGCCCCACCTGTCGGCCCCTGCAGGTACGCTGGAGGGGAGACTTTGTGCCTGTGCTCCGAGTCCGAGATGTTTTTGGTCTGGGCTTTGGACCGCACTTTGTGTAGAGTCCATTTCACTCTCGCTTTCCCCGTGCCCGGCACTTCCCTTATTATTTGTGTCACACAGCAACAGAGGGAACTTAAAGATTGCATAAAATCAGAAAACTTGACTCGGAGGTAAAGGCGATACATGGAACTACTTCAAATTCGTGGTCTTCAAACAACTAGTTTTTAAGTTGACTGGGGCCCTTTATGTTTGGAAATAAAAGGCAGGCAAACTCCAAGGTAAATGAAATAGAATTAATTAGCTTCAAATCGCCGGTAAAACCTCAGTTCATTATTCTGAAGGGTTGTCGTTTTGATCCGAGATGAGTGTGGTTTTTGCATTTCTCTAATAGTATAATTCTTGTGGTTTCTAGATGTTAAAAGTTTAAAAGATGTATTATAACAGTCTGAGTGTAGACTATCTTCTCAATCTCGTCCAGATCACAAGTGTATATTCTTAAGTTTCTGACACTCAGACCTGTTGCAGGTCTTAATAAATTTGAAACAGACTTAGTGGCTTTTCTTTATTATATCAAAGAGAAACGTGAACAGAATAATTAGTGGTAAGTCAATTACATTTAAAATTGCTTCAGTTAATGTTATAATATACAACTAACAACAAGGATAAATAAATTTGTTTGCAACACATGACTGAAGTTTTAGCTTTCCTCTGCTGTGAGGAGAATTCACAGTGGGCCGTGTTTGGCAAATACTTATGCATGTGGTTAACTTTTGCCCCACAAACAATCCCATACATTTCTGTGGAGGCATTAATTTAAAAATGAATTGTTTGCAGGCTTTGAGTTTAAGACTTTTGAGTTACCTGTACTTGAGTAACCAAGTACAGGTACCTTTCTCCCCTATGAGATATCAAAATATATGGAAATTACAAAGTGAATACTTTTTTTCTCTTAACTGGAATTAACACAAATCTGTACTTCTGTCTTGAAACTCTTACTAAGGAAAGAGCAATACAGTACCATGTATAGAAAACTGCAAATTTGTCAAGTATTCAGTAAGGGTTTCTTACATATTTTTCTTTTCTGACAGCCTATACAGTTTAGTTGTTTCCAGTATCCACTATTTTCAAATCACTTTTCATTGCCTTTATTTATGAATAAAGTATAAAGTCTCCAACTGAAAATGCAAGGGAAATATAAGTAGGTTGAATGTTACTATTTTAACTATATGAGTGTTAAAAATTCAGTTTAAAAAACCAAACTGGATTTCAATGGAGGGTAACTTATTCCCTTCTGTGGAAAGAGAAAATCGTGTATGGTGTCAGAGTTATAATAACAGGACTTCATTTGTTAAAGATGGCATTTGAGCAACTTTAATGTAATTGCTGCAACAACACTCTCATTATACAGCCACTGTTTCCAATTGAACTGAGTTCTTTAAAAGGGTTAATTGCTTGGGCTGAACTTTTTCATAATTAATCTTTGCCTGCCTTCTCTTGAAATTTTTGGAAAACATGATCAAAACAAGTTAAGTTTTTTCTGAAAACAAAGCTAGGGAAAATGGATTGGTTTTCCAAAGTTAAGATTTCTTGTAGTTCTTTTATCTGAAACAGCACTGTTCCAAATCATAGGGTGCTAGGAATGTAAAGTTTGTCAGGAGGCTGATCTTAAGGTTGGTCAGGTATCTTCTGATGTTACTGAAAATTCCTGAAGACTTGGTCACTTTACAACAGGGACGAGGAATCTTTTTTGAGTGGGAGGCTGCTGACCCACAGAAAAACGAGTCAGGCTGGGGACTGTGGGGAGGCAGCGGGGGGAGGGAAGGGGAGGCTGGAGTGCCAGCAAGAGTTTCCTAAGGCTGGGGGTGACCCTAAGCCTCAGGGACCAGATCCAGGCAAACCAGGGGCTGTATGTGATTCCTGGTCCTTATGTTACCCACCCCTACCTTACAAGCTGTAGACATTTGCTATTTGTATATGTACTGTAGCACTTGTTCAACATGTCCCTTAATTTACTGAAGTGTCCCTCTGTTGTATATCTCTCAAGCTGATTGAGCCTCCTGCATCATTCTAGAGGCCACATAGCCCAGAAACTCTGAGGGATATAACAAAATGGTGGCAGCAGCCTCCCTCATCAAAATTTCCTTTGGCCAAGTGTGGGTACACTGGTCTGGGAATTAAAAGATCAAGAATACGTCTTCATCTTTGTCACTGACTAGTATTAATAATATGAAGTTTATCATCTTTATTATTAAGCTAGGTTTCATACTCCTGTCCTAGGATGGTGGCAAGTTTCCACCATGAAAAAATTAATACATAATCTCTCTCTCTCTCTCTCTCTCTCTCATTCATATATATATATAAAAGTTTACAAGTTTTTCCTGCCAGGCGACAGAATGATGTCATCATGCTTTCATAGCTCTGACACTTTCTGGCCCTGAAAGCTGCCAGAGAGAGGTGGTTGGCAAGAGTATCGAGAGGGGGCTGTAGCCCCCTACTGTAATTAAAAACTGTAAAATTAAAGTTGCAGGAACAACCTTGATTATGATACTTCCTGATTTTTAAGAGCTTGTCTCATAATTCCATAGAATTTAAGGCCTGAAGAAAATATTGGATCATTTAGTCTGACCTCCAGTATATCAGAGGCATTTCACTCAGATACGCTAAAAGCAGAGACTTTATTTAAACTAAAGCACTTCAGTCCTCAGAAGACTAAATTGTGTCCAACAGGCAGAGAATAGGAAAAAGTAAGGTACTACTAATGTCTGAGGCCCCTACAGAAGCTTGGAATTGGCTGGGAGATTCTGAGCTGCTCCAAGCATATAAACCATGGTAAGGGGTAAAAACTGCAATATCTGTGCCAACCTGACCTGGGAAAGAATTCCTTCCTGACCCTGTATTTGGCTATCAATATGACCTTGAGCATGGGCAAGATTCACTAGCTAGACAGATATAAAAAGGATTTTTAGAACCACCTAGAAGTGCTGATTTCTGATGCTTCATAAGAAGGTAAAAACCACCTTTATAATACATACAGCAATGGCTGTACATCAGGGGGAAATATTTCCTGACCACTACAGGCAATTGGCTGAAGTCCTGAGGAATGAGATTTGATCCCAGTCATTATCTTAATGTAGACCTGGCAGTGTTATGACAGTGTTGAAGGCTGTGCAAGAAATTCTGTTGTCTGTATCACCCATGAAAGAAGCCTTTGCAAATGTAACATCACCCATGAAAGAAGCCTTTGCAAATGTAACATTTTAAAGCAGTTTTTGTATGTGTTTCTAATTACCTCAAGATAAATCTTTTAAGATACTGGGTTTATATAAATATAAAATACTTTGTCCTGTTGCTCTCTGTAAATACAATTTGAATGTTAATTTAGAATAAAATCTCGATCTCCATTTATGGAAGTCTTTGTATTGACTTCTCTGGGGTCACGATTCCATCTAAAGTGTGTTAAACTTCTGAACATACCTGCCTTATTTCTTCAGGTAGCTTCCACAAAACAATTCATACAGGATGTCATATTGGTGAAAGGGAATATGAGGAGTGAGTTGTGTGTTTGTCAAAAGCCAAGTCTGTACTTTGTGTCTCTTCAGTTGTTTCTTCACCACAGATTTTGTAACCACTTCAAGTGGCTGTAGTGGGAAGTTGTTTTGACTGTTAACTAGTGAAGGGATGATGTAGCCTGGAGTGAACACTGATTCTTAACAAATATACTCTAACTAGCCACCATATTTATTCATTCAATTTATACACTTTTTTCCAGATGTGGGGGAAAGACAGGAAACTTACTTTTTTTGCACCAGTAAGGTTTTTACACTGACTCATTGAGAAGACAAGTTTATTATATAACTAGCAGCTGTGATAATGAAGACTGACTAGGAAAGAGCACTGATTTTTGAAGAGTGATGAAAAAAGGATAGAGTTATGAAATGTGATTTTGCTGCCATGTACTGAGAGTAGGATAGACATGGACAAGTCAGTGAGTACTGAATCATAGCAGCTTTTTAAAAGATGGACTTATTTCAGTCTACAGTTATCTATCCTGTTTTCAAACAAAATACCTTTTTTTTTGTAGGTAATATATCCTCAACATTCGAAACTTACAGATAAAGAGGTAAGAGTTATATCATATACATAGTATGTCACTTTTTAAATTGTGTATGTCAGGAAATATAACTGTTTTTTTTCCTTTTAGAAAACCAGTATTTGCTATTTGTCTTTTCCAGATTCCAATTCAGGTAAATGCTTCTTTTTTTAATAATCTAAAATCTGTGTTCTATTTGCAAATCAAACTAAACTAAGAGTTAAATTTGCCAGTAAATAGCAGTAACTTAGAATAAATGTGTATTAAAGGGAATGTTGTCCCTCCCTAATTATCCTCCCTAATTTAGAATATTAAAATTTAGATGTTATTTGTATTGTGATAAACCCTGGGAAACCCAGTATATTATGTGTAATTGAAATATTAGGAATGTTAACTGGAGAAACATTTGCTTTTCTCTAGTTCTTTCCACCTGATGGTTTCAGAGCATTTTACAGACACTGACTAAACCTCCTAATATAACTTATGAAATCAGTGCATTATACATCTGGGGGAACTGAGGCACGGGGTAAAATTGTTAGGTTACTAGGGAGTATTGGAGAGAAATAATTAAATAAAATGCTTCTACGTTGTTAAAGATCTGTTTGATTGTTTTAAAAGCATGCCTAGAAGTAGAATGCCCTCTTGCTCCAGCTCTGACCCCTTCTGTAGCCATGCCCCCTCCTGCACTCAGTCCCTTTCCCAAAGCCTGTACTCCAGCCCCCTGCTCCAGGGTCAGCCCCGGAGCCTCATCCCACAGGGCAAACCCCATTGGCCTTAGCTCAGAACCTGCACTCCCTCCCAAACCCCAGTGAGACAGAGTAATGGGAACAGAGGGGAAGGGATGGGACAGGGTTGATCCTGGGTTGCACTTGAATTAAAAAAATTATCGTGGGCATGAAAAGCTTCAAGACCAGTGATCTAGACTATTCCTGACAGGTATTTGTCTAACCTGATCTTAACAGTCTTCAGTGGTGGAGATTCCACAACCTCCCTCAGCAATTTATTCCATTGCTTAACCACCCTGACAGGATGTTTTTCCTAATGCCCAACTTAAACTTCCCTAGCTGCAATTTAAGCCCATTGTTTCTTGTCCTATCATCAAGAGGTTAAAGAGAATAATTTTCTTCCTCCTCCTTGTAAAACATTGGAATTGAGTGCCTTAGGTCAACTTCCCGCAGTAATGTAGACATAGGCATACTCTGGAAAGGGTGAGAGGCGCTGATGGAATTAATCACATATCTGGCACAATGAATCAATAGAATTTCAGTCAATTTTATGCTGCCAGCTAACAGTGAATCAGAAGAGTCTTGCCACCATTTTATGCTCTATTTTAGATTTTGCATGTTCTATGCATTGTAGAATACAAGATTCTAGAGTATACAAAATGTGAATTAAATGTGAAGACTAGTAAACCACCTGACTATAAAATATTTCACCATATATTGTTTCTGAAAATGAGGCTTCACACAGTGAGCGAGAGAGAAATTTTAGTGTTGCATATGTTGTTGTTGTTGTTTAGTTGAATTACAATAGTACATAATCTGAGTTAGGGATTCAGTCTTCTCATTTGTGCCTACCTTGAAGAATTTACGTTCTAAAGCGGGGGGGAGGGGGGGGAAGAACTGTGGAAAGGTATGGGTATGTCTAGACTGGCGGGTTTTTCTGGGATTACCTGCAAAAGCTATTATCATGTCTCTTCTAGTCTTCTCTTTTCCAGGCTAAACAAACCAATTCCTTCAACCTTGCCTCACAGGTCATGTTTCTTACACCTTGAATTATTTTTGTTGCTCTTCTTGCTCTTCTCTGGACTTTTTCCAATATGTCCACATCTTTTCTGAAATGTGGCGCACAGAGTTGGACACAGTATAATTGAGGCCTAATCATTAGAGAGAAATAATTGCTTCTTGTGTACTACTTACAGAACTCCTGCTAATGTATCCCAGAATTATGTTGGCTTTCTTGCCACAGTATTACACTATTAATTCATATTTAGCTTGTGGTCTACCATCTCTGTGTGTGTGTGTGTGTGTCTCTCTCTCTCTCTCTCTCTCACACACACACATCCCCTACTACCTACCTTCTGAAGTACTCTTTCCTAGACAGGCACTTCCCATGTTGTATGTGTGTAACTGATTATACCTTCCTAAGTAGAGTATTCTGCATTTGGCCTTTTTAAATATTTTAATAAGGCTTTAAATCTGAGAAGAAAAGCTTAATGCAACATAAGAACAAATTTGGAAGGAGGTTGTTAGCTTGTAGCTGAATCAAGAGTAATAGTCTATCAGGCCTTCATGGCTCTGAAAGTAATAGAAGACATAGAATTTGTCAAGCCTCAGGACAATGAATTTTGATGAGAAGTAATCAGCTGACAAGTTTCTTTTCCTTTTTACAATTTAATGTAGATAGACTTTTTGTAGTGTGATGACTTTCAGAGCAAAATACAGCCAGTCCCCGAGTTGCGAACAGTCGAGTTACAACCGTTCGCATTTACAACCAAAGCTCCCATGGAGCGGTTGTAAAGGCGGTTCCCAAGTTATGAACGCGACCCGCACTTACGAACAGCGCGGTTGCTATGTAACTCAATGGGGTCCGAGTTACGAACAAATCAAGTTATGGCCAAGTGTTTGGTCCGTAACTCGTTCATAACTCGGGGAGAGACTGTATGATTTTTTTTTCTTAATTTGTTATGCAGAACTGCCTCCTATTTGGTCTTTCAAAATTATTGAAGCAGATGCTGGTGAGGCTGGAGGAGAAACATAATTGTGCTGCCCACTTTGCCTTTTGTCTTACTTTTGTACAGCATTTCTATTATTAATTTCTGTGCTAATTAATTTAACTGGTCTATTTTTCTTTTAACAACCAGAATCAGAAATTGATTTAAGACATCGTTAAAGATATTAAATAAACTTCAATGGACATAGAGATGTTAGATATAGTTTAATTTAATAATTATGTAACCACACCAATTCTTAGCGGTCATACGATTATCTGATGGTTGCCAGGGGTGGGGCCAGTAAGTAGCCAGTGCATTCCTGGCCCCACTCCAGGGGAGCCCCCTGCCACCTCATGCTTCTGCCTGTGTATCGGAGGGATCAATGCAGGCTGTCAAGCAGGATATGGTCCACAACGGGAGCTGGTTTAAAAACTGGCTCCCGGTGCAGACCAGCTCCTGCCTGCTGCCCTGTGCTGCTGCCTCTGATACAGAGACATCAGCTCAGGGCAGCAGCAGCCCCTGTTCTCATGGGGCTTGAATTCCCCATGAGCAGAGGCTGCTCCACCATCCCATGGAGCATCCTCTCTCCGTGGTGAGTACGGGCCCACTGAGGAGAGAGACAGCTTCGGCATCCTGCCTGTCCCCTTCCCACACGCTTCCTCCATATTTTGCTAGCATCATTTTGAACTGCTCTCAGGAAACAGGTCATGCTGCCACAATTTTAATAGTCATTAATAAGAACAGGGTGATTTATATACATTGGTAGTTGTGCAATTAAATGGATTTAGCTAGGCATCTGTGAATTGCTATGTGTTCCCCAGCAATATGTCTACAAGCGGAACAGTTACCTTTATAGACATTTATCCAGAGTAGCTTCATTCGACTGAGCACTACTGACTGATAGGAGAGGCTGATGACTCAGAACTGGGATGACTGAGGCTATATGTCGACTGCAGACTTTTTTTGGAAGAGATCTTCCGAAAAACCTTTTTCCAAAAGAGAGCGTCCACACACACAAGCACATCAAGAAAGTGGTCTGCTTTTTTGAAAGATAGCGTCCACACTGAATGGACGCTATCTCGCATTTAAGCTGTGATTGCTATGGATGGAGTGGCCACCAGGGCACCTGTGCTTTTTCCTCTTTCCTCTTCTTTTGAAAGAACTCCCTCTTCCCTGTCCACACACGCCTTTTTCCGAAACAGCTTTTTCAGAAAAAGGCTTCTTCCTCTTAAAAAGAGGATTACCAATGCCGGAAAACCCCCTCTATCCTTTTGATTTACTTTCGGAAGAACACAATTACAATGTGAACATAATTCAGGTTTTGTCAGAAAAACAGCTGTTTTTCTGACAAAACTCTGAAGTGTAGACATACTCTGAGGCCATTAAACTTCAAGATGTAAAAATGCTGCTTTCCTAGATACCTGTGTGGTGTAGGGATGTAAGTGAGTAGTCAACTAGACGACAATGGGCTTATCAGTTCATCAAGTTGAGTACTTGCATTTTCTCCTTTCCCCTCCCCTCTCCCTCCTCCGCCCCGGCCGCTGCCTCTGTATCAGAGACAGCAATGGGGAGAGTCAGAGCCGGCTTAAAAGCTGTTTTCCCCCAGCGTCATCTCTGATTTTAATCTGTCAGAGGCAGCAGCGCTGGTGGGTGGGGGAGGGGATGGAAGGCTGTTCAAGCAGCAGCCCTTTCCCATGGGGGGTCCCAGGCTTGCCACGGATAGAGGCTTCTCTGGCTGGGCAGGCAGCCCGACTCAGTCCTGGTTTGCTCTGGGTCCAGAATCAAACTGCACAGCAGCTCTGCAATTTACAAGGCAATATGAGTCAAGCAGCCTGCCCACCGGCTCCTGCTGTGTTTTAAATTGCCGTGCCACAGCGGGGTTTTGTCCTGGACTCTGTGCAAGCCAGGACTGAGCTGGGCTGTTTATCAACTAATCGAGTAATTGATAGAATTTTTATTGACTATTCGATTAGTAAATTAACCTTATTTTAACATCCCTAGGGTGGTGCTCACTCTAAAGTTGCAGTGGTGGAACTCCAAAACAGGAATTATCCTCAGCTTATAGAGGCATGTTTCCATCACCATGTGGAAGCTCACCATGCCTCAGTGCTAGTGGTCAGTAGCCTAATCGCTTTTATGTTGCCATGAGTTGTATAATGTTGTTATGATAATGCTACTGTGCTAAGTCATAAGAATCACAATATATGTATGTGGCATTGTATCAATGGCGCTCCTGAACTCCATCTGGCTATAGATGGGGCCTGTGTTACTATTCTTTGAGGTGACCACTGCCACACCAGGCCCAAGACTTTTATCAATAGGAAAGGGGTTTTTTTCCATGGTGCTACAAAGCCTAGTTTTTCCACTGTGAAGGTCACTGTCTTCATGTAGTATTGTTGGGAAAGATCCATGATGCTAAAATCTTCAGAGATTCAGGGGGGAGGTGGCTTTTAAGCTAGCTCCTCATGTGTACTGGCTCCCACAGAGGCAGCAGTGGAGGGTGACAGGCAGGAGCTGCCTGTCCTGCTTCCCCGCACATAACCACTGAAATTTTCAGCGGTTATAATTATATAAATGCTTAGGCTTATGTGATAAGTACTTGGTAAATATTGCACAACATTTAAGAGCAAGGAAAGCTACCTCGGACAAAGTGCAGGAGCAGGTGGCAGGGAGACTTTCTGAATATTATGGAAAGCTGGAGAGGGTATTTAGGGTATTTTGCAAGAAGGATTATTTTATGTGGCCGAAAACAACAAATAGTTCACCTGAAGAAAAATAAAAATGGTGCATGTGGGCTCAAAGCACTGCAAGGCAAAAAAACTGAAGTTACTCTGATGTAACATCCTTGTGTAGACAAACCTTGAATTAAAGTCTGTTGAAATTAAGATACCATTATTTCCTTTTTTTTCCTTTCTTTTTGACATAGGTTGTCTTGGAGACACACAGTTTTGTTTTAGATTCCGGCAGTCTTCTGGTAGGAGGCTCTCACTGCATTGTATGCTGGACCAGCTGGAAAGAGACTTACCAATTTCCTTAAAGGTTGGAAACACACTAAAAGGAAATATATCACAATTTTAAAACAAAGTTCAGAAGTACACTTAAAATTTAGCACAGGTACCCTAACTCTGATCTGAATTTTTGGTGCTGGTGTCATAATGACAATTTAATTCAGAGAAGTTGATTAAGAAATATTTTCAAAAGAGAAATATTCATCAAACTCCTTCTTTTGTTGCATGCCATTACCAGATGGTAATTGACTTGGGAAAACTACTAGAATACTTTACTTTTATTAAGTACTTTTTCTGTATATATGCTATTCATTGCTAGATAAGTGGCGTGGTAAAGGGAAATTTCTCTGACCAGATATACTCTATGGGTAACACTGAAAACTACAGGTTGTGGTACGGGACCCTCTGGTCTGGCAACATCCATGGTCCAGCAGGACCACGTATATTGCAGGACTCGAGAGCCCTGCCGGCTTGGAGTGGAATCGGCCAGCGGGGCAGCAGAGCCCACAGCTGGCAGGGCAGGGAAGTGGAAGCGGGGAGGGTTTGGGAAGCGGAGCTTGTGGGAAACCTGAGCCTGTAGTCAGTGGGAGCTCCTTTGGGATTGCTATGAGGCCGTGATGGGTGCTCCAGCAGAACTGCTGTGGTGCCTGATAGGGGCAGCAGGGCAGCTGCAAGGATGCAGGGGCAGCTGCAGCTCTCCAGGAGGCTGGGGAAAGGAACCCAGCAGGGAGACGGGTGCCCCCCCACTCCCAGACCTTCCCTGGTCCAGCAAGCTCCCTTGTCTGGGACCAGTCAGGTCCTGAGCGTGGTGAACCAGGGGGGTCTAACCTTTAAAGATAAGAAGTAATCCAATCCATGGTCCTGAATAAATTATTGCTCCTTTTTTTAATGAAAAATAAAAATACTTTTTACTTTCCAAGATGTGAATTCAGAGTTCTGTTTTTCTTTCAGCTGTTGATGGCATCACCTAAATAAAAGCTGCACTTTCCAAATTCCTTTACAAAACTAATTATCATTGTCTATTTCACAGAAAATACTAGAGATGTGAACATATATAGTTAATGATGAGTTTAGGCTTATCTGTTAACCCTCATGGTTACATGCAGGCCCCTCACGAGCACTGTCTCCCACAGAGCCATCTGACCCCCATGCTGGTGCCTCTGTATCAGAGGCAGCAGTGCAGGATAGGGGAGGTAGGCAAGTGGGAGCTGGTGCACATGGGGAGCCAGATTAAAAGCACCGGCTCCATTTGCCACCCGCATGTAAATACATTTTAACATTCCTGGGAAATACATAATCCTGAACTCAGGCCTTCATTGATAAATATAGGTGGAAAAGATTGTGAATTCTTGGGTTTTGGGATGGACGGGAATGGTTTAAATATTTTGTGTTTAAAATAGGCTTGTTTTTAAGTGTGCATTCTTTTTCTTAATGCTTTGGGAATGTTTTAGATGAACCTTTTAATGTGTGCTCTTGTGTTGAGTATTGAAGATAATCTGTGTTGTCAACTGACAAATTTTAAACACTTTTTTTCTTAGATCAGTAGATGATTTTGAGTTTACTGTTAAACCTTAAGTTATGTAGTATAGCTCTCATCTTGAAGATTTTAGTACAGGTGTTATTTTTTTCTTATTGCTAATCCATACCCAACTGTTGAGGAGTTGACTTACAGCATGATATTTGACTTTCTGATAGTGGTTTTTAGGGGACACTAAGTCTCATTGCAGAAAATTTCTGGGAGAATACAAACAGCAAGTATAATAAACAGTGAGTTCAGTTAGTGCTACAGCTTTTTTGTTTCAATCAGTTGTAGAATGTTTAGTTCCAGGGAAGAGGATAGCACATTGTCCTTACTTATTTTTTATATATGTGTGTATATATATAAATGAAAGAAGCATTGTTTTAAATAACACCTAGAATATTCAAAAATAGGAAACAGTCTTTACTTTGAAATTATTAAATAGATTTTTTTTTAACAGATGGACCCTGCATATTACTATGGCTATGTATATTTTAGACAAGTTCGAGACAAAACATTAAAAAGAGGCTACTTCCAGAAGGTAATCAAATGTCTTATTAGACAAATATGTACCGCATCAATTCCAGAGGCCATTACACTTGACGCTTAATAAGGGAGAAACAATGTCTCATGCTTTTCTATATACTTCTGAGCACATAGGCGCTTCAGAAAAGAACTATAACTTACCTACCATTTAACTGTAACTGCAAAAAATTGTAGGGCATTCATAGTATTCGTACTATTATAAATGTTATTCATAAGTCATTATTTTATATAGTCTGCATGTATATTTCCAAAATAATTGTCCACCACAGCTTTTAGTAAAAGTATTTCATTGTACAGAAGAAAAATTACAATAGCAAATTGGGGGGGGGTTATATTTAGTTTATACGATCAGAGAAATCGATTTCTGATACTCTGATTACTGAGGGGAACAAGACTTGTACTGTTCAGCTGATGAAGATTACCATGTGAAGAAGCCATACTAGAAAATTAACTCAGACTAGGTGGTTTCCAGAAATTTTATAAATACAATTCCTGTCCTCTCTCTATGGTGGAATTAAGTTACCTTGTTGGTAAATGGTTGCAGAGCACTGTTCTGAGAAGACTGCGCTTAATGATTTTGGAACTGTTTGGAACATAGTTTCAACCCTAATAGTACTCATTCTTACAGTCAGAAACACATCAGCTCTGTTATTGGATAGACTCCTTTTTAAGTTTCTTCTTACATTTATGTCTCTAGCAAGTGATCTTTTGTCTTCCCATTATTGGTTCTGATCTAGATCTTTTATAGGTTCCTGTATCTGAAAGGTGAAAAGTTGTGTATGTGTGAACCAGTGCTGTTGTGGTTCTACTCTGAAAAATGCTCATTTTTGTTTTTATTTTTAAAAACACTTTATTCAGTACGTCTTATGGTCTGATGTAGTATTTGTGTACTTCTTTGACAAAGAAGTTTGTAACTACTTTTCAGTTTTGTTAGTTCTGCAAAGCCAACAAAACTCCGGAAGAATTAGCTGAATTTATTCTGGGTTGTATCTAATCAACAGAATTGTTAACCAAATTCCAATTGTATATCCACATTTTATTGTTACTAGAATCTTGTGTAAGTATAACTGAGGACAGAATTTGGCTTAGAGTATAAATTATTGTGATGATGCATATGCTAGAAAGACCTCAGTTTGTCTTTTGAGTTTCTTGATTGAACTACAGGTTAGGCTGTAATTAAAGCCACCTGTTCACTTACATTAACTGAGCAAGCTCAACGCAGAAGCTTTTGTATTATGCACAATCCCACCATGCCACTTGTTTTTCAAAGCAAAACTAAGGGTGTTAAATTTAGATTAATCAACTAATGGAATAGTCAATGCAATTCGCATTGACTATTCGATTAGTCAATAAGGGCACCTCCGCCCTTATTGGGGGAGGAGGGGAGTCAAGAAGTCCCCCGCTGGCCCTGTGCTCCCTGCTTTTGAAATGTACAAGAACCACAAAGGCTGCTTGAGTCCCCCACTGGCCTCATGCTCCCTGTGCGCACTTTGGTTTTGAAATGTACAAGAGCCCCCACAAAGGCTGCTTGAGTCCCCCACTGGCCTCATGCTCCCTGTGCGCACTTTGGTTTTGAAATGTACAAGAGCCCCCTCTGAGGCTCTCATACATTTCAGAAGCAGGGCACAAAGGGCCAGTGGGGGACTGCTTGAGTCCCCCACTCATGCCCTGCTGCCCTGGCACTTCTGTTTTTGAAATGTAGCAAGAGCCTTGCTCTTACTACATTTCAAAGGCGGAAGCACTGCCAGTTCTCTGCTGCCCCTCTGTCTCCTTCCCCACAGAGACGGTGCTGGGGGGAACCGGCTTTCAAGCTGGCTACCCCCAGCAGCAGCTCCTGGTCCCCACCTTGCTGCCTTTCTCTGATAGAGGCAGTGACTGGTGGGGGTGGGAAGTGAGTAGTCCGAGTTGATTATCCAATAAACATATGCTTATCAGACAGTCGACTAGTCACTCAAATCCCCAAGCAAAACTACACTATATTGTGTGTC